ACGTGCAGCATCTTCGTGATATAAATTTATTCCACTCGCGACGATATTTCAGTCAATTCCAGTAAATGCATGCAATAAATTGACTATTATCATTCATAAACTTCTGTATGGGAGATATAGAAACTCGCGCGATGGCGCAAAGAGAGGAAGTGGAAAAGTGTGTGCACAAGACAGTTCTCTTTGGGGTTCATTCTCAATTGAAACATAAAACTTATGGCAAGTGCGTGAATGATATAAAATCAGTCACACACAAGGAGAATCTCTTCTTCTGCTTCCACGGCCACCTTCTTCTCCACTCGCCACAGAGTCTCTCTCTCTCTCTTGCTGGATGTCAAGGAGAGAAATCTGAATCGCAAATTTTATATTTATTCAAACAATTTTGCTGTTTACTTGCCATCGGGCTGTGCGCAAGAGGAGACACCCAGAGGATTTCCATTACCCCAGCGCCGTAAGAAGTATGGAGGCAACTGTGAGATGAATCAATTTTGAAGTATTCGCGATTGCCAGAGAAGCAGAATTTTACGGTGCACTCAAATGGCCAAGAAGCAAATTCTTCATAAATTTGTTTTCACCGCAATACAATTTTCATTGGAAGGAAGCACACGGCTTTGGGGGAGATGAAGAAGGAGGCGCACACAGTGAGATAGGCAAGTTGTCCACAAGTCCACTCGATAATTCATCGAATGTGAAACTAATGGCTGAGATAATTTTCAATTGAATCACTTCATAATGGCCCAATAAATGTCCACATCGTGCTCCCGTTGCTGTAAATCAGCCAATGTATTCTGTGCGATAAAAGCCAAATAAAAGCGTCAAACCTCTATATCGCCATTGAGCTTCTCCCCTATTAAAGCACATGTGTGGATTTTTCATGGCACAATTGTACATTAAGCACACAAATCAGGGCACAGAAAACGTCGTGTATGAAATCGAACGACAACTGATTTTTTTTCTGGTACTAATAGTGCTATGTACAATGGGTTTTATGGAAAGTTTTAAGACACTAAACATCTTGCTAAATCTCATGAGGAGTTCAGCTGGCCTGATCGGCAGCATTGGCAAAGAAATGAATGGTCTTTCGTTGCATCGCTCGTAAATAATTATGCAAGCTGCCATCAGCAACATCGATCTCATATTCGTCAAAACAAACTGTGCACGGCTTATCGTCCGTTTCCATCTTTAATCCATCATGAGACTGTGCCAAGGGGGAGATAAACTGGTTAAAATCTGTCCACAATTAGGTAAAACTTCAGATAATCTTAAACATTATGTGTGTCTATGAATAACATTGAGTTATTCTTAAGTGAATTCGATTATAATATGTGTGGCGCTGAATTGCAATTGTTTAATGCAAATTTGAGGTTATATGAGACTTTAGCACAATTTTCCACCACTCATTGATTCCTCAATGAGGAATATGTAGTGTCATTTACAGTGCAATAATTTCTATTTCAAGACGTTCTTAGTCTTAAAACAGTCTTCTTAGCTGCTCACCACTTCTTCTGTCCACTTTATCTCCTCCTTGCTCTGTGCCATGAACATGTACGAATGGCTCTGAAAATCATAATGGAGGTGAAATTTTAGATTATGACTTCTCTAAAGTTTCGTAAATAATGATATATCGATTATCGCATGCCAACGATCAGGACTGCGCGACTCCATTTTGGGGGGCAGTTGAAAAAATGCGAGCTCAGGGGCAGTCAGCAATTGTGAGATGCCTTAATATCGCAGTTGTTGCATCTGCAGACACCAAGTTGCCGTATCCGGAAAGAGGTGTACAGTGTGGAATTCCTATCCGAGATATTATTGACAATAATTTATTGTTAGGAGTCTTTCGCATTTGTATTGTGCTTCTATATCGAGCAGAGTTGGAAAATTGTTGGTTTGTATAGAGGAGTGTTTAACCCCTTCACGACGAAAATCCCTCGAACTGTTAGGCAGTGAGAACAACTCTTCCTAAGGCTTCTTCTTTTCATTTACACGGGAATATTGAAAGATTTTGTGAGAAATGGGGATCAAATATGAGTCAAGATGTTTTCTTAGATCTCAATAATAGTTTCGCTGCATGATTCTGTGCTCAGAGCATATTGAGTGGCCGCGAAAGGGTTAAGCAGAGAGGGACAGGTCTAAAAGTGACGATTTGAGATGTACCCGGACGCTGATGAGGCCCGGGAACACTCTGAGTGCGCGCAATTATTATGGCCATATGAGAAGAGAGGGAATCGATATTTTACCACCGCCAACAACTTGTCTCATCCACTTTAATTTCTACCTTATTGCCTTCAATTATGCCAACAGAGAGGAATGAAAAGAGTGCATTCAAGCCCACACCCATTGACCGAGGCGCAGTCCAAATAGAGAAATGCCCCTTTTCCTATTCATCCGATTGCTCCCTAAGCGCGACACAATGTTGGTGTACTCGCGCTGTGTTCCTTAATTGCGGCACCGAGGAAGAGCCAGCAGAGCCGCAGGTACAATGTAAATGGAGCTAATTAAAATCATATAAATGCGGAAAGGTGATATAATAGCATGTGACACTTTCGCAACCCCTTTTGGCGAAGGCATCTCTCTTGCTCACCTGTTTTGCGTCATCTTCTCAAATACTTACCACTGCCTGCTTAACTCTCTCGCGCTCATGCTCACACGTGCTGCAGTCTTTCGGCTCTCTCGAGGAGGACTTAGAGAAGCTGCCAGCAAACACAATTAGACGTATTTCCCCCCCTTGGACTGATTGTTTGACGTCTGCACGGAAATTCTGTGTAAACACTGAAGCGGAACATTGGTCAAATGCATTGAAAGTTTAGCGAGAATTGCACTTCAAGTGCTCACGAAAGATCACAGTAAGAAGTATAGATATTTGTCGGTAATCAAATCAAGAAATAGAACCAAGGAGATATTAGGAGTGATAATTTCTTACTGTATTTACTGTCCTAAAAGATGTGAGTTTATTTTCGCAATGAATCTGTGGAATAAGAGAATGTTTTACATATTTTATTAAGAAAGGATAAAAGGGTAATTTTCTTCCTGTGTTATATCTGAATTTCTGTTGTAAACTTTGCCACTGATTATTGTGTGTTTGTGTGTGTGTTAGAGTGAAAGCCTAACGAAGTTTTATAGATCGTGAAGACGTTGTTCACGTTTATCTTCCTTACCTTAATCCTATTGATATATTTATGTGTGATATCCGTATATTGAATCGGCGGGAAATTCACAGCTCTCAGGGTGGAAATGGGCCAGCGCAATTAGCTGTGATAGGTTATTAAATTTCACTTTACGACGCCATTCTGGGAATAAAAATCGTGCCATAAATTTATAATTGGTTGCGATGAATCAATTGAAAATTTTATGTATCTGTAATTGCTCTCTCTCTCTCTTAATTGTTTCTCTCATCGCACGGAAAATGTCACATCCTCGAGAGTGCTGGGACCTCTTTTTCAGCCCCAAAACCTCATCTCGAATTCCGTGGAATGTCATGAATATGCGCGCACATGAAGGCAAGAAAGATTTGCCACATCTGTAATTTGTGTGGAAGTTGAGGTGAATGGCGGAGAGTGTGCAGTGATTGCGCGTCTTTCTCTTGGCCTGCGAATGTGCACAAATTGAATTAAATTGATTATCTGTCGCTGTGGCGATTGGAAGAAGGAGAAAATGAACAAAAGGCCACTAATTACACTGCTCCAGAGCAATGCAAGTACACCTTCCCATAAATATTCATCATCATCTCGCTCTGGATGCGATTTTGTGCATGTCTTCCAGTGGCTTGACAATTGTTGTCGCCGTTATTAATCATCTGTGTCCACATCTCTTCTAATGCATTTACAATTTGTGGACTTCTCCTGGCGCAGACACTCTTATATCCCCCATCAGGCTAAATTGCCGAGGCCAAATGAGCCCCAAAGTGAATTACGGGCCACGGGATTTTCGCGCTCGTGTTGAGTCAACTTTTTCAGCCTAATCACCAACCATTGCCGGCACAGCTGAATGCCTCTAATACCTCAGGAAGGCTCATGTGTAAATTCTTCAGCTCTCTCTCCGTCTCTGGAACTTCTTTGGTGGAATTCCTCGCGCTCCCAACATGTGTTCCCGTGCGCCCAGGAAGACATATACGGCCGCGCAATGCGAGAGGACGAGCGCTCCGCAGAGACAAGCAAACGCGTCTCACCATATTCGGATTTGAGAGCATGTTCTGGCACTATTTTCTCACTTTTTCCACCGAGAAAGTCGCTCCTCTGCGGCTCCTCGCGAATGCCTAAATATCGTGCGCAATCCTCGCCAGTCGCCCGGAATGCGCGCACCTTATCAACAATGACTATGGGAAGCTATCACACAGTACGCAAATTCGCGGAAAAAATCCCATCCACCTGTTGCAGCTGCATGGAATGTGTTTGGCTCTCCTGAACAATGAGGAACAAAGAAGACGGTCAATTTCGTGACCAGAAAGTGAGCCCAAAGCGTGGGCGTTGTGCTCAACAATACTCTTTTTATTGCCACAGAGCTTTCGACTCCATCACAAGAAGTCCATACAATTCTCCTCACAAGATCAACCATTGATCAGCGAAAAGTGATTCTTCTCCACAGAGCACAAAACTCCTCGCGCAGGCACAGAAGTTGGGAATATGAGGAGAATTTATAAAGTTTGCTCTCTGATTTGTAGAATTGCAATTAAATTTTGAATAATCGAGCGGAAGAAGTCTTCAAGAATTGCCGAGACACATAAATATAACAAAATCTCATCCTCTTTGGTATCATCGAGGTGAATAGAACGGCGAATGAATTACAATTACAATGGTGAAATGAGTTTCAAATTGAATTTCTTCAAAAATAGACTTTACTAACATTATATGTTCTAATACACACACTTCAATGAATATTTAATTTTACATCGCGACTCATATAAATTGATGTGAATATCACTTTATGCAAATTGACAATTGTTCCCCCAGAATCATGCGATGACAGACAATGAGGATAAAGTGCACACGAATGAAAGATGAAAAATGTTGCGATAATCATTAATAATTTATATTTTTACATCCCAAGATGAACATTATTATAATGGATAAAGTGACTTTTGGCGGCGAGGCGAGAAAGCATCACGCCATTGAATAAATTGTGGATTTTTTGGTGGGTGGGCGTTTAGACATGGCACAAAGAGCAATCTATTGGGAGAGAGAGAGAGCTATCTAATTGTACTCAAGGAGAAACATCCGGGTTGACCAGTATTTCCCGGCTTCTTTGGTGGATTCGGCTTGTTCTGGCTCAACTTGTTGACAGCAATCTCGGACTTGCCGAAGAAATCCCAGAGGGTGAAGTTTCCCCGAGTGTCCACCGAGGAGAGAGTCTTTCCGTCTGGACTCCACAACAGATGGCAGATTTGGCCCATTCTGTTCTTCTTCAGCACATCCGCAACGTGCTCCAATGACGCCAGCACAATGATTACCGTCTCTGCAGTGTTATTTCCGTCTATCCGTTGAAACAAGGAGAAGTAAGTAAAGTTTAAGGTCTAAAGTCTATCAGAATATTGTTTGAATGGACATTTTTTATGTGTAACACTTGATTCTGCTTACGATGAGCAATTTCTTTGATTTGCTAATGCTAAATGTTCTCTTGGTCAGGAGCTCGGGAGAAATATGCAACTCACCGAAGCGTTGGCAGGCGACGGTCAATTCTGCCGATAATTTGTTGAAGCTGATGGCGTTGATTTGGCACTTGTCGTCAATGCGTTTGTACCAGCCAATGATACGCTGCTCAACCGTGTTCACGACGCCGATGGACGCGGGCGATCGCGACGCTATAACCAACTCCGTGGAGCACCACGGATGCCAGTCCATGAACACGGCGGATTTCGAGGGATTCTGCAGCGTGAACAGCGGCTCCTTGTTGGCCCAACTCCACACCGACAGACATCCAGACACGTCCACGCAACTGAAGCGCCTGTAATCAGCCGAGAATTTGATGTCGCAAATTCCCGCACTGTGAATATCCTTGAAGCTCTGGTAATCGCCGCTGTTTGGTGTGCCCAGATTTACAGCGCGATGAATGGAGAGAGTTCCGGATTTTTGGCCACTGTGAAAAACGAAAAAGATCGCTAATTACTCCCTTGTAATTACTTAATGGCATTCCATCAGTGTTGGAGAATTTGGGTGCCGAGAGAATTTTTAATTACCTCCGTCTTCGATGTGATTTATATTCAAGAGAATTAAACATTGAGAATGTGACCAAAAAATTTGGCAGACTTCTCAGAATTTCTCAAGCACTCTCACGTATATTTTCACCAGTGCTTTTGAATAAATTATTCAAAACCTGATAAAAATACTACCATGGAAAAGTGAGAGACAATCCATTGACATTTCCCAAATACTATTTATTTGAAGTGAAGTGAAATAATTCCTTGACACAGTTAAATATTTTATTACTTGACTTTATCTGAATGTTCTAATAGGTTTTATTGTGAAAAACTGTTTCCATGCTCTTCTTAGTCTCAAACATGGGAATTTCTTACAGAATTCTATTAGAAATTTCCGTTCAAATGCCATAATAAAGTGTACATAAAAATGAGAATTTTCACAGCTATTCAATTTGAACATATATCACGGAATAGTATTGGAAAATCCGTCATTAATACTGAACTGTCGTACGAAAAGTATCGGAAAGTCGTCTTACCATAATATATACTCTCCGTTGAAGCTCCACGCGAGGCTCCGAATTGTCGAATTTTCACTCATGTTAATTGCAGCTGTCATGCGGATGTTGCTGTCTTCGGTCTGCCAGAGTTCCAGTAAAATTCGTCCGTCGTACTTTCCGCCAGCCGCCATGACTTTACCAGTCTGATCAAAGGCCAGCGTTGTGATGTAATCCACGGAATAGACCATCAAGTTGGGCGAGCCAGGCGTCCAGAACGCCATTTCTGAGCCCACAAAGGCCACGATTCTGTTGTTCGTCGTCCACTCGATCAGCTTCTTGTGACCAGCACAGAAGAAGCCAGGCAGGCTGTGAACAGTATCCACGAAGGCGATGGACCGAGAGCGCGGAATGCAAGCCCAGTCGAGGGATTTGTACCAATTCGGCGTGAGATTGTAGTTAAATTTGGGCGACCAGTAAAAGTTATTAGTAGACGCAGCGCAGTGCCTCTGCAGCTCATCGGCCAAGGAGAGAATTCTGCTCTCTGACCACTGACATATCCTCTTCTTCGGCTGCACATTGAGTACAGTCTCCAAGGCCGCGGCGTACTTGAAGCGCTTCCAGGACATATTATCGGAGGCCTACGAACGGAGTAAATTCTTCTGTAGTTGCATTACTAAAAGTACAACTTCTATAAAGTGCACACCATCAGGACATCGCACCTCTCTTCCTCCTCCAGTGATATTGTCCTTTCGCTGGTCCTCCTCGGGATGAAGCGATCGCTATAGCCAAGCGGAGCGAAGCTGCTGGTCCTAGGGAGCTGCAGAGGATAATATTTCAGAGACGATCTCTCTGCTTTTCGTGCATGATATATGGTTGAAATAAATTAGTAATTCCTATTGTAATTACAGCGTAACGTGCAGATTAAAATATAAATCACTCTCATGGCAATTTGCAGCACGCATTTGTGCGTCTCTGGCAGAGATGATCTGTGGGATGTGAACAAGTGTTAGAGAGCAGTTCCAGTGACCAAGAGACGGCCACTCTGCGTGAGTGTAACATTAGATAAATAATTCAGAGCAGCAAATCCATAATCGATACATTTCAGACACTGTGCACATGCGTTTAGATGGTAAATTGCGATGCTGGGCAAAGTGGAGAATCGCAGGACTTGTCCGCTATCAGCTACAGCATCGAGAGATCATAATTTCTCCCCTTCTTCCTTGGTCAATGGAACCACTGTCGATTAATCATATCGATCCAATACGCGCGCGCACAACTATCATGGGCTATTATGACAAGTTTCGCTCAAAAGAATATTTCTCATTTACGTAATTGCCCAATAGTGCGAGCCAGCGCGCGACTATCCCTGTCCGATTCACTCGCAGCGCGACAGGCCAGAAAGTCCACTAATAGGTCGCCCAAGAGATAAGCAAACTTCTCATAATGATGAAATAAATTACCGCTATTGGCACTTCTAACTCGTCATCACTTATGCCCAGAGATATTGGAAAAGCTCTCACGCCGCGCTTCTCACTCTCATAAACTATCTCGCAATACTCCTACCGAACGGATAAATTGCAAAAGGCTGAAATTGCAGCGAATCAGTGGGAAGGCATTCCAATGTCGCGATGTTACCATTAGGAGATAAGAAAATAATTACAAATAATTTTATTGACCCTCAGGAAGGCAGTGAGGGAGCGATAAGACCTTCGGTAGCTTCACTATGTTCATTCCTAAGCTTGCTCTCAAGAGAAAAGTCATATTGGGGAATTTAGAGAGAATTTAAAGTATTTTTAACGGCAGAATTAGTAAACGAATATGAAAAACAATAAGAAATATAAGATATTCAATCAGAAGAATTCAGAATTCAGAAGAATTTCAACAAATTTAGTTGCACATTAAAGAATTTTATAAAATATGTATTACACCATGACATCTCGTATATTGTGTATAATTTTAAAGGTTTTGTACACAGATTTGTATTCTTTCAGTATTTTCGAGCCTTATTTTTACGATTTAGAGCAAATTTAATCTCAATTCAGCAGTAAAAAATCAGACATGTCACATTCTTATAACACAAAATGTCATATCTTATCTAATAATAATAAGATATAACTATAAAGTTGCATAAGCCAATTGTTTTAAAATTATATACCTATCATGTAAAGTTGATACAGATTTTTATCAATCTTTGTAGTAATGATCAAAAGGATCATGTTTGTTCTCGAATGCATCTGGCAAATGCCTCAGAGAGCCTGAAGATGTGGATTAAGAGAGTGATTAAACCTATAAACTTCATTATCGCGGTGAGCAAATTGCTTCTTGACGGCAAATACTCGAGATTATTATTGCTTTTGTAGTTTGACGAAGGTCTTCAACTGCATATTTGGTCTCATTAGACACACAGAATAATCTCGAGAGAAGGTATCTCTGGCCGAAGTATCGAGAATCTCATTTTGGGCTTGGTGAGATACTTAGTGCGGTTGAGTGCATTCAATTGGAGCCAAATGGGCATTAGAGAGCACTTCTCGCGAGATCCGCAGAGTCAATTTTATTCACCTGTGGCATTCCTGATAAGATACCGCGAGTGCAGGCGAATGGGGGCTGAGAGAGAGGCGCAACTCTCGATCACCATACGTGACTGGGTGATCATGAGGCGCAGAGAATGCTGCGCAGAGAATACAGCGCTCGAGAGTGTGTCACTTTTATGAGGTGCCTCCCATCATAACAGCGTGACAACTATTTTACTATCTAATGGTCTCAAAGTCTCTCCTTATTCAGAGATGGAGATGTTCTCTGTCTTTTTTTTTTGTCGCCGCTCAGCGCCATCAAAATCTCCCCGCGCTCGCCAATGCGTGGCTTTGGGTGATTTCTGTGTGACGAAAATTGAGTCATTATCCCCGAAAATTTATTTTATGGCCTTATATACATTTTGATGTGACATTTCCTCGCTCAGGTAATCTGCCATCGTGGTGAGTGCTTTCAATTTAGCCTCACCACGGCGTGCTTGGCAAATGATCGAAAAGAAGTCAAAGTCAACGGAAAATTTAATCGCTTGACGGTTTAATTGGTGTTCATCTCAGCTGGGAACAAGTCCCATCGGCACTTGTGAGCGCGCGTAAAAGTGCTCACAAGAATACGAAAAATACAGCGAGAGAGAGTGGAGGAAAAAAGACATGATCGCAATTAAATCGATCTATAATTAATTTATAGTTTCCTCTGGGACGCTCTGACCACCAAGTTTCGCGCGTTTTGCGCTTCTCCGGAGGGATTTCTGAGCGCTGGAGGACTACGATTTTCTCCCCATCTTCCCAACTCTATTACTTTATATGAGCGTCAGGTATTGAATTAATAAAAATTTAAGTAGGGAGTGATAGAGACACATCAAATTGAGGAATTGGCTGGTGGAGAGCACAAATCATGCCTTTTCACATTCCCCAGCTCATGTGGAGAATCTCCAATGCGCAAAAGCTGTGTTCTTTTCCCCAGCAACGACAAACACTGTCCTGATTCAGCGCGAGTTGTAGTTTTCCAGAGTCGCTCAATTGCAATCTATGTGGTCAGCTTGGTAGCTGAAGCCTCATCATCGAATTCTTCCTCATCTTCCCACCTTATAATTCTCATTTTCCTTCTCTCCCTCTCGCGAGCCATTTCTTCGCCAGCCAGATAAATAGCAATTGTGCGCATTTAATATCTCGTTGAGTATTGGGAGCAAAAGCGCGGGAAGAGGCCCATGAAATTGAGATCCTCACGGGCTGTTCTGTTTGGCATTCACCTATCCAACCCTCCTGTCGCCTCTTCAGCAACAACATCTCTGCAAAGAACACTGGCAAGACAATCTCTCTCTCTCCTGCGATTCTGCCAAGGCATAAATGCAATGAGAAATGCTACAACAAAATATCGATCAAAAGATCGGCGCGTGCTTCAAGTCGTGATCCCAGCTTTTCTTTTTCTCTTTCCACCATCCTCTTTATGCTTCCACTGCCCTTTTTTCCACCATCATCATCATCATCATACAGCCCAATATCTGCGCATTCATGCAATTCCCTTTTGGCCGCCTTGCGCGGTGAAATTTAATAAACCCCAAGAGATCAATAGTCATTAAACGAAAAATGGAAATGAAACATTACCATCTCGGCGCTCACTAATTAATTCGCCTTTTTTCTTTGCTTATGGGGAAGAGCAGCAAAAATTGACACTGTGCAGAGCGATAAATCATACACAGGAAAAGAGATGTTCAATCTCTCTGGGCGGGCAAGGAGAGCGCGATGCACAAGACATTGGAAAATTGCATACAGAGCGTCTTGGAAATATCTTATGAAATATGCGGCATTAATTGTCCCCCAGGTGAGCATTAATACAGAAATAAGCTGCATTTTCTACTTAATGCCTAATGACATATCAATAACCAATGTAATGCGACATATTCGCAATATTTTTGCAATACATCCATGCCAATGAGCGCAGCCGCTTCACCTGATTACCTACAGATGTTGAACAAAGTCTGCAACAACGTGTGCCTTATCGCCACTCATCGCGGGAGTGGTTTGGCAAAAAGTCATCAGACACAGAGTGTTGTTATGGCGGTTCAGCCGCGAACAGATGAGCGATGATAAGCGAGTGATAAGCTCAGAGACGCGCTGCTTAGAGGTGTTTGTGATTCTTCACAGCAGATATCGCACAGTTCACCTGAACATGTAATTTAGCTTGAGACAAAGAGTGAGAGAGTCACTGATTCTTTCGCATCTCGGCGGATTTCCTTCACAAGTAGTCATCAGATATCACGACAGCTTGTATTGTCGGTTAGAAATACAGAGAAATTTTACAAATTGAGAAGTTGTAATTTGAAAAAAGTAATTGCAATTTAAGTCATATTGAATGTTGAATCATATAAAATATGACAAAACGAGCAAAACACAATTTTAGGGAAAATACAAAGGAAGGATCAAATGCAGAATTCCCTGTGGAAATTTTTCCAAATCTTCCGGCGATGGCAAAAATGAAATGAATTGTACGTGGACTGTTTACCACACTTTTTCACATCCACTGTGCACCTAAACACCATATGAACAGTCAATCGCTGCTCCACTACATTCGTGGCAGCTTTGACTATGCACGAGGCGATTGGCTGGCGTTTGTCTTGCAAAATTGCTGGTGTGTCTGTGGCGATCGCGGATGGTACAGCGCTCTCAAGACGCCTTTCCTCCAGTAAATCTTCAACATCTGATGAACCCACATGTGCGCTCTTCGCGGTGCTAATCCGTGTGCTTTTCTCCCTCTCAACTTGATCCTGAGATGTTGTCACCCAGAATCGGAAGTTGTGCGAGTGTGCAAGAAAAAAAGCTCAAGTTGAGACGCAATTTTCCAACTGTGGCAATTTTTCTCACGAGTGTCACCAAGGATTAAGTGAGAAAATGCTAATAAATAACTCAAGATTTTTTTTTCTGTATCGTGGCTGTAAAATTTATACACTTTCATTCCGTGACACTTTAAAACACCATTCAATTTATCATGCTGGAAGCAAATAACTATGAGTGTGTGGCATTTTTTTGCTTTTGGAAAAGTTTCGGCGCCCGCAAAAAAAGGCACTAAAAGTCAAGACGATTTTGCATATTGCTGGCAAATTAAATCAAGTGTGTGGTGTAAGTCGAAAACTGTCTCATTTGAACCGGATCGAACACTTGGCTGAGCAGACGGAATGAGAGGAGGAGAATTAATTGGATTGTGCTGAAAATGAGTGCATATAGTATCCAGTATCATGAGCAATTAGCTGCAGATGCAGCCGCAAATTATCCAATGACTGATGCAAAGTGGTGA